CCAATAAGTACATAAAAATGTTTGACGTAATGGTTATTTGAGAAAGGACAATTAAAACAATGCTAAGATTCCATCTCACTCCAGAAAGAATGGCTATCTTCAAAAATCAAGTAACAAATTATGGAAAGTTTGTGAGGGAGAAAGGAGTGCTTCCCTGTTGGTCATAGTGTAAACTAGTACTATCGATGTGGAAAGCGGTACGGTGTTTTCTCAAAAACCAAAAACAGAGATTCAATTCAACCCAGTTAGTCCCCTTCTAGGTATCTTCCCCAAAGAGTTAAAGACACCATATTACAGATCTGCATGCCCAGATGTATGTATACACCTATGTTCATAGGAGCACAATTCATAATACATCTTGAAAGTGGCCTGGATGTTCATCAACAAATGAATGGATAAATAACGTGTGGAATTTATACACAACAGAGAGCTACTGTGCCATAAAGAAGGATAAACTAAGTCATTTGTAGGAAAATGGATGCATCTTGAGACCATAATGTTAAGTGAAATAAATTAGATACACAAGCTTAAATATCATATGGGTTCTCTTACACAAGAAACCCAAAATATAAAGTGTAAAATAACAGAAAATAGGAAACCACAAGATAGGTCTTTAGCACATGGGAAGGGAACCAAGAGATGGGACGGAAATGGGATAAAAAATGGAGTTGCGATGTGTTGATACATGTACCAAGAGAAACGATCATTAAGTACCACAAACACATTTCATATATGAATGGAGAGGCCCAAGAGATGTGGGGAGGGGAAGGAAAAGCAGGGGGAGAGGTTAAAAAAGAATTAAGATATGGAATATGATGTATATAATTATTATACACTGAAACACATATAACAAAAATAAAAATAGAATGACTATGGCTACAAAAGTGTGATATTAATGCAAAACCACATATACATGTCATTCAAACAAAAAAGTCAATTCAAAAAAAAGATCTGAGTATAAATGAGAATTTAACAGGCGGTAAGTCAGCTTTTTTTTTTTTGAGACAGGATTTCACTATGCCGTTCATGTTGGCCTTGAACTCACTTTGTAGTTCAGGCTGGCCTCGAACTCAAAGCAATCCTCCTGCCTCACCCTCCCAAGTGCTAGGATTACAGGCATGAGCCACACACCCAGTAGTCAGCTTTTAAAATTAGTTGGATAAGATGTTGGGGACGTGGCTCAATGATAGATTTCCTGCCTTGCATGCACAAGGCTCTGGGTTTGATCCCCAGAACCCCCCAAAAATAAAATAAAATAAAATTAGACAGTAATGCATAAATGGGCTGCCAGATGAGTGTTGCTGAGATTTGGCTATGTATGTAAAATAAGTATTTGGTACACTATATATGCAACCTTATAAGAAACAACTAATATACAAAAGTATACCAGGAACTACAAATCAGTAAAAAGATACAGTTGAACAGAAAAATACTCAAAGAATTTTTTTTCAGAACTGGGGATTGAACTCAGGTCCTTGCGCTTACCAGGGAAGCACTTGTTCCACTAAGCCATCTCCCTGGCCCCTTCAAAGAATGTTAAAAAAATAATTCTCACATAGTAAATGGATATGATGGTCAAAATAATACTTAGGAAAATGTAAATAAAGGCAATCTAATATATATATTTTTATTTTTTATTTTTTTTCTTTTCAAAGTTTTATTGATAAACATAGCAATGAGACAGTTTCAAATCAAATCGAAAGTACAGTTTCAACAAATAATACACTGCATATATTCTTCTTAGTGGTTAATTGCTGTACAAGATGCAGACTTGTGATCCTACTTACAAAGACCATTAGAAAAAATCATTCTATTCATTAAGAGAATGCAACTATATATCTATCCCAACCACTTTGAATACACAGATACAAAATGGACATTCATAGTTATACCCCAATTTTTTTAAGTTCCGTTGTTGAATATTATAGGTGTGTAAACTCAGCAAAATATTCTAAAAGAGTCCAGTAGCCCACAATAATCTAATATATTTTTGCATTTTATATTGCTACTAGTTATCAATACACAGTGTAGAGGTATGCATGAGGAGTAGTCCCTGTCATGTGCTTGATGAGAGTATAAATTGGCCAATCTTTTTGAAAAGGAGTTTGTTGGTATATCCATTAATTATATAAAATCTTATAACTATATAAACTCATTGACTATATAAATTTTATCAACTATATAAAATCTTTCTTTTGGCAGTATCAAATGTGTGAAATTTCATCCTTTAACCAAACAAATCTATTTACAATAGGATGTCCAAAAAAATTATTCCACTGTAGATAAAGCCATATGTAGCAAGCCGTATGTAGCAAGTCATTCATTGTAGCCTTGCTTTTATTGGCCTCACATGCAGAAGAATTTTATGTGCTTTAATGGGGGTAGGTATTGAAATTAATAATAGTGTAACTGAACTGTGAAATACCCTACAGCAATTTAAATGTTTTGGTATTCGAGCTCAGTGTGGGATAATTCTAGGTGGGTAAAGATAAGTTTCAAGACAATGTATTAACTATGATTTCACCCATAAATTTTTTTCTTCGGAACCGGGGATTGAACTCAGGCCCTTGCGCTTGCCAGGGAAGCGCTTATTTCACTGAGCCATCTCCTTGGCCCCTCACCCATAAATTTTAATGAGAATTAGAGTCTCTGCTTCCATAGTGTGGGAGTGTCTATTTCCCCACAAGTCAGTCAACAATATTATTAAATTCCTAAATTCTGATAAATTCATAGCTGAAAAACAATAAGGCATAGTTGTTTTAATTTGCATTTCTTTGAAGTTAGACATCTTTTCATCTGTTCATTGGTCGTTTGTGTTTTCTGTGCAAAATGTTCATGTTTTTTGACACACTTTTCTACTGTTATCAGTTTACCAGTCTTTAAAGGGTTTTTAAATTACAAGGAAGCCCTTTCACATGCAGTGCTTATGCTTTCTTTTTTTAAACATTACCAAAGTGTTAAAATTTTATATAATCAATACATCAATTCTTCAATCTTTTCCTGTGGTAAAAAAAAAAATATAAAAGCTCAAAAGCCATGAATAAGGTCATGTGGTGTTGAAAGCTCTTTGGCTTCCTTCCAGGGAGAGCCTCCTCCACAAGGGCCCCTGGAAGGGAGCATCTCCAGCCTGCCTTCAGGGCTATTGTTCCAATAGTCTAAAAAACAGGCTGCCTGGGTGGTTTGTGTGTACAGTGTGACTCCCCCGTGGGGACAGGAGGGTTTCTGGGGACCAGTTTCTGTAAAATGCCCCGTGGTTCTGGGATTATTCTGGAGCTGAGGGGGTGGTGCAGGGAAGTTGTAACGGAAGACAGGGAGTGAAAAAACCTCTTTCTCCCGGTGAGTGTTTGTCTCTTTTTTTTCCCCCAATGTTTGTTTCTCATCCTTCTACTTGTGAGGGCAAAATGACATGAACATCAGAGTGTGTCAAAGCAATTCGTGTTCATCCACAGGCTGTCATCATTATTACCACCAGGCAATGTGAACGCTATGGTGACAAATAGCACATAAATGGCAGAAACCAGAGAAATTTCCAGAACCATGATGTAATAAAAATTCCACCTGTTAAACCTCCTTTCCTTTTAAAAATTCTTATCAATCCATGCTTGCAGTGCATAATGATTACATTCATCGTGGAGGTTGGTGCATGTACAGAATACATCTTCATTCTTTCTTCATCCCTATCCTCTGTCCTCCCTCCCATCTCCCTCCCTCCTTTGGTCTTGCTCCCTTTTGAAAAAGATATCTCTCCCTGATTCCTCTTACCTATTTTTTATTTTGTTTTTTATTTATATTTTAGGTTTCTCATATGAGAGAAACCACATCGTATTTAAATTTGCGTGTCTGATTTATTTCACTTAAAATTATGGCCTCAGGATGCATCCATTTTGCAAAACATGATGTAGTTTATCCTTTTTATAGGAGACTGGTACTTCAAGCCTTTTCAGCTATGTGATGGAAGTTGATCCTTTTATGTACTTGGTGGTTGCATTCTTATGTAAAATTCAAATGAAGACCCCTAAGCAGAAAGTAGGCTCACGAGAGAAATGAGTCAGTACCTAGTAGTAAGGTACTGACTAGGTTTGTCAGGAGTGGAGTCTTCTTTAAATCATCCTGAAGGCATCACTGAAGCCCAAAGCCACCTATCAAGGGACTATAAGTTCAGCCAGAGCTTCAAAAGGTCGTACATTATTTTTGTAAAACTGCCAAGATTAGAAATCTGAATCTTTTTCTGAAGATTAATTTATAAATCACCTTGAAAACTATGCTGGTTTTACTTAGGAAAATTTTGTATTAATATGCCAATAATTACTGGTCTGTTTTGAAAGCTGTGAAATAGTCTATGGCAACTGAAGAACATTTTGGATGACACAAAATAATATAAACAAATGAGTTTTTTGTTATTTTTACAACCTGAATATTTTTATGTCAAATGAAAATGACTTTACAGCATTTTCCCATTACCAAAATTAAACAAAACAACAAAAAAGCGATGTTAAGAGAAAAAAATCATAGAAGGAACACATAAAACAAAGTTTAACGTTCTATTTGCTTTCTCTGCTCTTTCCAGACACTTCCCTTCCCAGCCAATTTGGTGTTGGTGCCATACTACAGGAGGGCAGGTTGTAAGGGGTGAGGAGGAAACATTGCTTTTGAAGTGTAAGAGGAAAAGAAAGGATTCCTCAACGGTGCCTGGAAGACTACGGCCAAGGCCTGGGAGTGGGTGGGGGATACAGGCCCTCCTTGGTAACCAGAGACCAGGAAACTCCAACCGCAAAGCGGTGATGCCACTTGTGGGCTTTCAGATTGGAGAAGATGCAATGAGTGACAGGGTGGTGTTTGCTGGGGCACCGCGTACAGAAGCGCGAAAGGGGGGGTCTTGTGCGTGCGGACGGGGGGGGGGCGTCCTGTTGGTAGCCTGCTGGTCGGTGGGGGGTTGTGGGGAGGAGGGCTAAAGATGACGCGCGGGCCTCACGTGACCCCGAGCTGCAGAGCGACGCAGACTTCGGTGCAGTCGTCACTCTCCTCTAGCTACCAGCTCCCCGCTGCCCTGAGCACGGCGGGCTGGCATTGGGCCTGGGAACGCAGAGCAGGTAAGGGCCCCAGGGCTCACACGACGCGGCCTGGCAGCAGCGTCTGACCCTAAGGCAGCATGGGGATGGAGCGTGGGGAGACAGTCTATGCTAGCTCAAGTTCAAGGAGTCCTGGTCTCTTGTTCTGAGTCCCTGGCCCCCAGCTAAATCTGTGCAGTGGAACCACGGGCTTTGACAGGGCTGCTGACGGCGAGACTGTATCAAGAGGGAAACCCAGATTGAGATGTGCGTCCTCTCTGACTCTAATCACCGACCGCACATGTCCTCTAGCTGCCTGCTCATTTGAGAGGAAGGGACGTGCCACGGTGACGCTTCCGGGGGAAAATGGTGGGCCATAGTGACTGGACCTCGGGGTCGATAGGGGTGGTGTCTCACAAGGAGGGGAGACACATTTGACAATCGGGTTCCTGAATGTGTTAAAGCCAGTATTGGAATCTGTGGTCTGGGTGTTGGTCCAAGCAATCAGTACCTTTACTGTCTCCTGTTTTTTGGATAATAGTTTGGTGTAGCACTGAGATGAGGCCAGAAGAAGAGAAACCTGCACAGGATTTATGAAGGTTAGTTGAGCATGCACACCGAGTCCTTGAAGTTCTGTATGAATTCAGATTGTGATATGGAGTGGGACAGGTGGGAGAACATTTCCTCAACTATGTTTCCTTACCAAGCTTCAGACTTTAAACTTAAAATGTGTCTTGAAAATCCAGGAAGGTGAAACTTTTCTGTACATGATTTTATTTATACTTCAGATAATGTCAAGAAAATGTAAATTGTATCAAAGAATATTACCTCTTTTTTTGAGATACTCCTTGAGTAGAAGCATAATGCTTTTGCAGTAGCAAAAGTCCTCTCCTATACCTCTTCTCTTCTGCTAGAGACTCTTACAAATGGGAGGGTAAGCAGATGGCTGCAGGCTGTGACTCTTGAGTCATGGGATCTGGAAGCCTCCACTATCTCTTGTGCTACCCTCCGGATTTTGAGATACTTCCACTTACCTAACCATTTTGGTGAAGAAAATGGTGGGCTTCTGGAGGAAATTCTTAGGACTCCACAGGTGGATTTGTCTCCCTTTTTCTTTTTCCTGTCTTCCTTTTTTACTGTGTCCATTTTGGTGCTACAGAAACCTCAGGTTCTGCCTGCTACAAATGGGTCTCTAAATCCAAAAAGCATGTGTGAGAACCTATGTGTTAGATGCCAGGATATCACAGCTGCTGAACATTCATCTTTCCCCTTTTCTTTGTATGTGTTCCTAGATCTTCTTGTGGTCTTTCAGTACACCTGTTTACCACTGGAAGCAAGGGAAAGAGAGGGAGACTGGCCTGGAACTATGAAAGTTGTAAAGGTGGGCAATACCTGAGGGTGACGAGAGGGTGGCTATTCACATGCTTGAGACTTGAGAAGGTCCCAGTGGAGGGCACCTCTCCTGCTTCTGTAGTCTTCTAGGTTTCAACAATACTGACATACTCCTTATTGATTACAGTGAAGCAAACAGTGGGAATATTAGGATGACTAGGGTATGACAGAAGATGTGAGGAGGGACTCACAGGATGAGATGCATTAGTCCACTGGAACTGGACCCTAGAAAGGCAGACACTGGGGCAGGAATTAGGGTGCTTGATTCTTCTCCCAAAGACTCAGTTTTCTTAACATCCTACTTGTCTACTTGTCTATAGACCTGCCTGCTTTTCTATAGAAGAACTTGAAATCACTGAAAGCAAGGAAACAAGGAGAAAAGTGTCTCTGATCAGTATAGACTGGTAAGATGGTAAGGACTTCCTGGGTATACCCCAAGGGTGGGTTAGTGGAGTATTTATATGGCCAATTTTTAAAAAGTGTATGTGCTACTGAAGCAAGCACAGCAATATGTTTCAAATGAGGGCCAGCGACCAGTCTGGAGGATGTTCAGCCTTATCCTTCACTGACACCTTTCCCATCATCTCTGAAACCTTCACCTTATTTCTGGTACAGTGAAAAAAGGGTGACTACCTGGTGTACTGAGGGAATAAAAAGGCAGTTTGTTAACAGTATATCTGTCCTATTAAGAACAAACTCTCTGCTCTTATCTGTCCTTCCCTTAGTCTGTCTGTCTCTAGGTTCAAATATCTCATGAATTTTTATATCTATTTTAAGGTATATCATCAATCAAGAGAAGGAAAGAGGAGAGGACTTCCTTGAATCATCACAGGTTGGTATGAGAGTTGAGATCTGTAGAAATAATTGTGATCAGAACAAGTCCCACAAAGACCAAGGTCAGAGGGCTTCTTGATTTCTCCTATCAAAGCCAGCCTTTCCATCACTATCACCACTGTTCACTTGGTGTATACAAGTACCTTGGGGGAAAATTTAGGGGTTTTGGGGAAGGTGGAGAGGCTAACATATGGGGTCGAAAGCTCACTAATCATTTTCTTCTCCCATGAAGCACCTTTGCTATCTTTTCCTGTTTCTATTTATCTATCTGTATGATACAGTAGATTTAGAAGAGAATTTTTTTATTTCCTTCCTTCACTTCTAGGTCTACTTCCAGTGGCAGCTGTAGTGACCTTTGAGTGGTTGAAGACCAGCACCCTCATAGATCTCCACCCAAGCCTGTCACTCTCTTTCCCCAGCCCAAGTGAGACCCCTGTACTGTATTTGTGCCTTCTGCAGGGGTGATTACATGGGCCGTGTTCAGGAAGTGGGCTGGGCTACTGCAGGACTGGCGATCTGGGCTGGCACATGCTACTACCTTTATAAATTAACCAAAGGAAGAGCTCAGAGTGTGACGAGACTTGCCAGAAATGGGTCTAGTGTCAAGATGGACACTGTGGTTGGGGTACAGGACCAGCCCTTACCCATGAGTGAAGCCATGGCTGGGGTGGAGATTGAGACTAGACCCAAGGACAAGAATGGAGCAGAAAATGAAGGAAATGAGCCTGGGGCTGAAGTAGAGACCAAGGTTACTGCTGTAGAGAGGTCCAAAGCCAACTCTCAGTCCAAGGCAATGATTGGGGCAAAGACAGAGACTCAATTTGAGGCCAAATCAGTGGCTAAAGCACTGGTCATGATAGATGCAGTGACTCTAACTGAGGCGCAGGTCAAAGCCAGGGAAGTGGCCATGAAAGAGGTGATGACTCAAACCGATTCTGAGGCTGGGGAAATAGTCAAGAAGGAGGCAGTGACCCAGACCAAGGCTAAAGCTTGGGCACTGGTCTCCAGGACAGAGGCCAGAAAAGAAGCAACAACTCAGACCAAAGCTGAAACTCAGACATTGGCTGAAAAAGAGACAGAGATTAACAGAGTAACTGTAACACAGAGTGAGGTTTTGGCAGTGACCAAAGAAGTGGTCAAGATTGGGACCATGAATAAATCTGGAATTGTGGTTGAAAGCAAGACAAGAGCCCTGGAAGAGACTGTGAGTGTGGTTACAACTCAGTCTGATGGTAGGCTTGGTAACACAGGTGATGCTAGGAAAAGTCCTAATGGCATGTCCAGGGCAGTGGCTGACATGGATGTTAAGTCCTGTGTACAGTCCCAGGCTGTGGTCAAGATCCAAGATGGTGACATGCTTATTGCTGAGGTTGAAGACAAGGGGAATCTCAAAACCATGCCAAAGGCAGGGTCTGAGGTTGATACAAGGGCTGCTCCTCAACCTCAGATTGTTGTCAGGACCCAAGCTGAGGCCATGCCTGGGACAAGAGTTGATATGGCAGGTAGTTTTGCCACCATGTATAAGGCAGAGGTGGGGCCAAATGTGAGAGCTTGTATAATGCAGCCTCAGACTATAGCCAAGAAACAGGCTGAGGCACTGTCTGGTGCCCAGGTTGATGGCAGGGAAAATACCACTGTCATATCTAAGGCAATTACTGGAGCTGTAATACAGACTGCTGCTCAAATTCAAGCTGTAACCTGTGCTCAGGCTGAGTCTGTGCCTGATGCCAGAGTTAAGGGTAGAGGCAATTCCCATGCCACGGTTAAAGCAGGTGGCACGCCAAACATGAGGACTAATGTGCAAGCTGAAGCTTTGTCTGATAATAGCCATAAGGCCAGAAGCCTTTCCAGTGTCACAATTAAGGCAGAAGTTGGGATAGACACATTGTCCTATACCCAGACTCAGCCCGTGGCCAATGTCCAGAGCGATGCTTTGCCCGATGGTAGAATCAAGACTAAGGGCACTGTTAACTCCATGATTAAGGAGGGAGCCCAGGGTATGGCTCAGAACCAGGGTGAAGCCTTACTTAATACTAAAGGTAAAGCTAGGGGCAAAGCCAAAGCCAAGTGTAAGACAGGGGTTGCACCAGACATGAAAACTTGTTCACAGCCTCAAGCTGGGACCAAGACCCAAGCTGAGGTTTTGCCTGATTCTAAGATTGATGGTAGAGGTGATTCTAATGGCATTTCTAAAGCAGGGACTAACAGGACCTGTGGTCAGCTCCAAGCTGTGGTCAATTCCCAGGTTGAAGCCTTGCCCAGTACCAAGAATAAGTTGAAGACCTACCCTAATGCTGTGCCTAAGGCAGAGGCTGGGACAGCTGCAGCAGACTGCGCTCAACCCCAAGTTGTAGTCTGTTCCCAGAGTGAAACCTTGATTGCAGCTAAGAATAAGTCCAGGGGTATTCGCAGTGTTGTGCCTAAAGCAGAGACTGGGTCGGCTACAGCAGGCTCTGCCCAGCCCCAGACTGTAACCAGTTCCCAGGTTGAGGTCTGTCCTGGCACCAAGAATAAGGTTAAATGTAATCTCAGTGTTATACCTAAGACAGAGGCTGTGGTGTGTATGACGGGTTCTGCTTTTTCTCAGGCTTTGGCCAATTCCCAGGGTGATACCTTGACTGGTACCAGGTCTAAGGTCAAGGGCAACCCCATTGCTGTGGCTAAGCCAGAGATTGGGCCAGGGATGACAGACTCCTTCCAGTCTCTGATTATGACCAATTCCCAGAATGAGACCTTGCTTGGTGCCAGGAGTAAAGTTAGGGTTAACTGTAATGTGCCTAAGGCAGAGGTTGGAGCAGGTTCAGTGGGCTCTTCCCAGTCCCAGACAGTGGTTGGTTCCCAAGGTGAGACCTTGCTTGGTGCCAGGAATAAGGTTAGGAGCAGTCCCAATGCTGTGCCTAAGGCAGAGGCTGTGGCAGGTCTAGTGAGCTCTTCTCAGTCCCAGACTTTGACCAGTTCTCAGAATGAGGCTTTGCTTGGTGCCAGGAATAAGGTCAGAGGCAATTCTAGTACTGTACCTAAATCAGGACCTCAGAAAGGTACAAAAGTGCCTGCTCAACCCCAGGTGATGGTTGCTTCCCAGGATGAGGTCTTGCTTGGAGTAATGGACAAGGCTATGTCCAGGTCTGAGGCTGAAGCTACAGCAGAAGATAAGGTCTATGCAAAGCCTGAGGCTGAGGCTGAAGCCATGCTCATTTCAGAGAGTGGGAGTGGGCCAGATTCTCAAGCTTGCAGAAAAAACCTTCATGATTATTATTGGAATGGGATTGGTGTTGAGGATTGGATTGCTGCTGAACGGTGGATCAAATTTAGGTTTCAAGCCATGGATGGAGATTGGGAGAATAGTGTGTCCTGGGCTGATGACAAAAATGAAACCAATATTGGGTCTTGGAGTGGAACTGGTGACAGGAGTGGTTTTGTTAGTTCTTGGGCTGTGGCTTGTGATGAGACCACTATTAAGTCCTGGGCTGGGGCTAGGGCTGAGAATGAGGTTGCTCTTGGGTCCTGGGTGGGAACTGGGGACCAGGCAAGTGGAGGGCTCTGGGCTGCAGGTCAAGTTAGTGAAGCATCATGGACTGGGGATAAGGTTGGTGGTTCCTGGGTACAGACTGAGAACAAGGCCATTGGAGGATCCTGGCCTGGGACTGAGAACCAGGTTAGTGGGGCCTCTTGGGTTGTTCCTGGGAACCAGACCATTGGAGCACCCTGGGCTGTGGGTCAGGTTAGTGATATGTCTTGGCCTGGGGTACAGGCCACTGGAGTGTCTTGGGTTGTGGACCAGGCTAGTGGTGGTTCCTGGACTGTGGCTGAAAACCAGGCTAGTGCAGTGTCTTGGGCTGGGGCTGGAAATATAGTTAGTATTGGGTACTGGACTGGGGCTATGGACCAAGCCAATGCAGGATCTTGGATTGGAACTGGTGATCCATCTGGCAGTGAGTCCAAGCCTCAAATTGAGGATCAGGCCAGTGACAAAAGGTCCTGGGCTGAGGCTGGTGGTCAGGCCAATGGAGATTCCAGTTTGGCACCTGAGAATCAGTCCAATGGAAGGTCTTGGGATGACACTGCAGATCAAGCCAGTAGAGGGTCAAGGCTTGGGCCTGTAGATCAGCCTAGTGGTGCATCTTGGGCTGGTGCTATGGAACAGGCTGGTAGTGGATCTACACCAGGATCTGAAGACCAGTCCAGTGGTGCATCCTGGGATGGCACTAGGAACTTGGCCAGAGAAGGGTCCTGGACTGGGACTGGTGATCAGTCTAGTGGTGAATCCAAGCCTAGTTTTAAGAATCAGGCCAGTGATGAAGGCTCTTGGGCTGGAGCTTTTGGCCAGGCTGCTGGAGTGTCCAAGTCAGGGCCTGAGGATCAGTCTAATGGAAGATCATGGACAGATTTTGGAGATCAAATCAGTGGAAGTTTCTTGGTTGGGGTTGTGGAGCAGGCTGATGGAAAATCCCAGGCTAGTCCTGGGGATCTGGCTGCTGTTGGGGCAAAGCCTGTGTTTGAGGATCAGGCAAGTGGAGGAGGATGCTGGACTAGTGTTGCTGAGGACCAGTCTGGTAGAGAATCTAAGCCGGGCCCCAGGGAGCAGTCCAGTGGAGATTCCTGGCCTGGCACTGGGGACCAGGCCAGTGGATGGTTCTGTGCTTATACTGGCATTCAGGCCAGTGGAGCAGGGTCTTGGGGTGGAACTGGTGGTCAGGACATTGGAGTTTCCAGGCCAGGGCCCATGAACCAGGCCAGTAGTGCATCCTGGTCTGGCACTGGGAGTCAGATCAGTGGAGTATCCTGGCCTGTGGCTGGTGGCTGTCCCAAACCTGGATTTGGGAATCAGGCCCTAGCAGCAGGGTTCTGGGCTGGTGCTGGAAACCAAGCTGATACAGGGCCCAGACCAGAGTCTGAGGATCAGTCCAGTGCAAGAGGTTCCTGGCCTGTGACCGGTGTCCATGTCATTGGAGCATCTAGGCCAGATCCCACAGACCAGTGCAGTGGTGCATCTTGGGCTGGTCCTGGGAATCAGGCCAGTGGAGGGTCCTGGGTTGGGCCTGGGGATCAAGCTGTTGGTTGCTCCAAATCTGGATTTGAGGATCAAGCCCATGGAGGAAGTGCCTGGGCTGGTCCTGGGGACCAGGCCAGTGCAGTATCCTGGCCTGTGTCTAGGCCTAGGAATGAGGCTAGTGCAGGATCTAGGCTGGGTTCTGAGGACCAGACCAGTGGAAGATTCCTGGTCAGTGCTGAGGTGGAAGCCAATGAAGGATTTTGGTTTGGGCCTGGTAGTGAGGCCTTTATTGGGTCTTGGTGCTGGACAGGGGAAGAGGTTGGTATTGTGCCCAGGGCTGATGGAAAGGATGAGACCAGTATTGAATGCACATCAGGGCCTAAGGAAGAGACCATCATTAGTGCTGAGTTGGGAGATGAGAACAAAAGTAGTGTCGGGTCCTGGATCAGATCTGAGGAGGCAGTTTATGTGGATCCCTGTGTGAGGGCTGAGTCTGGATCAGAGACTGGAGCTGCAGCTGAGGCTGAAGCTGGTATTGAGGCTGAGGCTGGAGCTGAGGCTGTGGATGAGGCTGGGGCTGGGGCTGAGGCTGTGGGTGTGGCTGCGGCTGCAGCTGTCAGTGATGCTGAAGCTGTGGATGATATTGACAGTGAGGCTAAGGCTGGGGTTGAGGATGTGGCTAAGGCTGAGGGTGTGGCTGTGGCTGAGGCTGAGGCTGAGGCTGAGGCTGAGGCTGTGGCTGGGGCTGAAGCTGTGGCTGTAGCTGTGGCTGAGGCTGTGGCTGGGGATGAAGCTGTGGCTGTAGCTGTGGCTGAGGCTGTGGCTGTGGCTGAAGCTGTGGCTGAGGCTGTGGCTGGGGCTGTGACTGTGGCTGGGGCTGAGACTGAAGCTGGTGCTGAGGCTGAGGCTGAGGCTGTGGCTGAGGCTGAGGCTGAGGCTGAGCCTGGAGCTGAGGCTGGGGCTGAGGCCATAATGGGGTCTTGGTCCTGGGATGCACAAGTGGCTACTAAGGAGCCTGGGCTTTGGGCTAAGGAAAAGGCTGGCATACGGTCTTGGGTGTTGCCTAGGGATGTAGATGAGGATGAGCTAAGTGAAGCATCCAGCCCCGATATTGAGGAGATCAGTTTAAGGTCGTTGTTTTGGGCTGAGAGTGAAAACAGTAGTGAGTTCAGATGCAACAGTGGAAAAGATATTAATTTTGAGTCTGTGTTTGGGGAAGAGGCAAGCATCATGGATAAGTTTGAGGCTGATGATGGAGTTGATATAAGGTCTTGGTTCTGTACTGGTAATGAAAGCAGAAGTGAGGACCAATCCACACATAAAGCTAAAGCTAAAAAGTCAGCAGAGGCAAGAGGGACATATCCATCCATGGTCCCTGGGGCAGGCATGGGCTCATGGGACGGAGCTATGATCTGGTCAGAAATGAAGTTTTCACAACAAAGTGAGGCCGGTTTCCCAGCTGGAGATGAATTCACACAGCAGAACAGGGCTGGGGACAAAGTTCAGCCCTGGTCCTGCCGCTGTAAAGAGGAAGCTAATATGGATCCACGAGACCTTGAAAAACTCATTTGCATGATTGAGATGACAGAGGATCCTTCTGTTCATGAAATAGCTAACAATGCTCTATATAACAGTATTGATTATCCTTATTCCCATGAAGTTGTTCGTAATGTAGGTGGAATCTCAGTTATTGAAAGCTTGCTGAATAATCCCTATCCAAGTGTTAGGCAGAAGGCTCTAAATGCACTGAATAACATCTCAGTGGCTGCTGAAAACCATAGAAAGGTTAAGACATACTTAAACCAAGTGTGTGAAGACACTGTTACCTATCCCTTGAACTCAAATGTACAACTGGCTGGACTAAGATTGATAAGACATCTGACTATTACTAGTGAATATCAGCATATGGTTACAAATTACATTTCAGAATTCCTTCGTTTGTTAACGGTGGGAAGTGGAGAAACTAAAGACCATGTTTTGGGGATGCTTGTGAATTTCTCTAAAAATCCTTCTATGACAAAAGACTTGCTTATTGCCAATGCACCAACATCTCTGATTAACATTTTTAGCAAAAAAGAGACAAAAGAGAATATTCTTAATGCTCTCTCACTATTTGAGAATATAAATTATCATTTTAAAAGGAGAGCAAAAGCATTTACCCAGGACAAATTCAGTAAAAATTCCCTTTATTTCCTATTCCAAAGACCAAAAGCCTGTGCTAAGAAACTTCGAGCCTTAGCGGCCGAATGCAGTGACCCAGAGGTGAAAGAAAGGGTTGAGATATTAATAAATAAACTCTGATTAATTATATGTTTCCAAATAAATGTGAGTAATATGTTAATTTTTCAGCCTGGAAGCAATACACCTTGTAAACTGCATTATGACATCAAAACTGATGTTAGGTATGATGGTCCATAAATGAACCATTTTATGAACACCAAATGAATTCAAATTTGTCCTGAAAATACATGTCACTTTTTATCTTGTCTGGATTGAGATATTTTTAGTATGCTTCATGAGCAAAACCTGACCTGATTCTTCATAAGCAAAGTAATCTTTGGTCCTTTGTGTGGACTTCTGTTTATACATTTTAGATTTTATATTTATGTTATCAATAAAGTTGTGTGTTTAAGCAGAAACAAAAAGAATTGTCCTTGTCCTTGAGTTTACAATCTGTTTGGAAAGAGAAGATATACAGAAACTAAAAAGTATAAAATCATGGGCCTCCGATAATCACTGAAGGTTCCCAGAGGTGCTTCAAGGCAAAAAAACTGTTGCCCACAACGGTGTTGAGGGAAAGTTTTGCAGAGGAGGGGGACATGAAAGAAGCTGGGCTTAAAGGATAAGATGCAAAGGTGAGGGACAGTGGTGGAAGAAAGACATGGAGATGGGAACTGTGCTCCAGAGAGAAGTCTGGTCTGCCTGGAGCTGAGAGTGTGGACAGGAGAGGGGTGATGAGGGTAGAGTCAGTGTTGGAGGGCATCCTATTCTTCTCTTGGTGCACTTGCGGTTGCTGAACGGGGGTCTGAAATTGAGTCCTCTCTGCCCCTGGGAGACAACAAGGCCTTTCATGAGCAGGGGAGTGACAGGATGAAAGGAAACAATGTGGCTGCTTTGTGTGTAGGGTGGGTCTGGGTGGGATGAAAACACCATTGGGAATGAGATTGGAAATGCAGTTAGCAAGTTAAGTACCATAGACCCGGCAGGAGATGAGAAAGGTGCGGAATTTCGCTGGTGGCTGGGAATGGTAGGGACAGCAAGGAAGCAAGAGCTCTGTTCCACTACAGATTACTGTGAGGGCATAAAGAAAGGGTTCCTTTTGTTTTAGGGTCCTGCGGGCACATAATGGGCATGTGTTGTCTTTCACAGCGCTAGAGTCTGTGTAGTGAATAAGGGTTATGTTTTGCAATACCAAGAAGCTATAGTGGAAGACAGCATGAATTTTAGTGCTTGCATTAGATTCCTTGTATAAGGTTGGTAGGAGGGAGCCTTCATGGAACCGCAGAGTGTAGTTGGGATGCACAGAGGAGGACAGCCACTTGTGTCCCACCCCATAGGCTCGGTGAGGGATGAAGGAGGAGCACTCTCAAACCGTGAGGTGAGGAGCACACCAGGTAGGAGGTCTACTGAGGCAGATGCTCCAGAGCCCTTAACACGGGCATGCTCCTTGACCCAGTGATTTCATTTGTGGAGATTTACATTGAAAACTAAGCAAATAATTGGCTTGTACAAAGTCGTGTATCCTTCAATTGTTATGAAAGGGAAAAAGTATAAATGATTCAAGTATTGTTGAAAATGTTACTGGGCAGCTATATTAATTTGCATGGAAAAATTCAGGATATAGTTTTAAGTTATAAAATGAGGTCATAAAAGTACATAAAATACTTTTTATGACCAGGGATATATCTCAGCAGCACAGCACCTGCCCGGCATGTGTGAGGTTATACGTTCGATTCTAGGTACACCCCCAGAAATAACATTATGCCCAAGTATGTATCTAAATAATATGTATAACTGTTTCACACTCTGTGAAGATTAATAATTTTTATAGGTGTTAGCCTGATGGGAAGTTTTAAAAGTCATGTATCTTTTAATACTTACATAATAGATAGAGGATTCTTACATAATTTAATAAGCAGGGGGCCTGTGAATAGTACCAGAGGGGCCTACAACAACACGCTGAGTAGAGACTTACATATTTATGTTTTAATATTTGAAATATTTCACTTCAAATTTGAAATGAAGCTATACATGTTTAAACATTTAAATATTATAACTAATATAAAAATAAAACCGTTCTCAATTCCAGCATTTGCTGGATTTCTTTACTTTCTACTGTAAAGAAATGAATGGTATTGCACTGTAATCAATTTTGCCATGTGGACTCTGATCCCCCTCCAGAATAAGTAATATATTGTTCAGTTGGTAGGAGTGCTGCCAGTAGATAGCCCTCATCTGTCAGCCCTCTTTGGGAAGTGCCTCAGAAGACAGGTACATCTTACAAGGTTTTACCCCTTCCTGGATATATTTCAAACCCCATGACTAATGGACATGGCCTTCTTTTTTAAATTAATTTTATTGAGAAACAAATATCAATGAGACAGTTTCAAAACAGGATAGTAGGACAGTTACAATAATTAATGCATTGCGTATTGTTGTCTTCACAATAGTTATCTATAGTACAATATGCAGACATGATATCCTGTCCAAACACTATTAGTACAAATCTTCTCAATGAATTAAGAAAGTAGCTGTATATCTATCCTAACTATTTTGTATACACAGATCCAAAATGGTCCTTCATTTATATCCCCCTTTTTCATTTAGTTTTGTCAGAGATGGGTATTCCATTGCCATTTAAATATTGTATGTACTTGAATTCAGCAAATTAATCCACTATAGTCCAGTAGTCATAGTGGGTTATCCATAGGACTGTGCAGACCTCAAAAGTCATCTCTGAAATTGCTGGACTCCAGACCTTGTTTCCTGCTCTAGCTGTGTTTTCTACCACCCTCTTTTTTCCCATAATTTTATTGAGAAACAAATAGCAATGAGACAATTTCAAATCAAATTGGTAGGACAGTTTCAATAATTAACCATTGCATACTGTCTTCCTAGTGGTTGTTTGTTGTACAAGATGCAGACATGGTATCCTATTTATAAACACTATTAGTAGCTGTATATCTATCCTAACCATTTTGAATGCACAGATAGAAAATGGTCATTCATCTGTATCCCCTTTTTTCGTTTGGTTCCGTCATTTGAATGTTATAGGTGTGGACATGGCCTTCTTGTTCCAACCTAAGACAGCTTATTCTCTCCCTCTGTCCAATCCTGCTTCCTTTCTTTTCCCCTTCCACAGGTGTTGATCCCAAGAGTATTCCCTAATAAAAGTTCTTCATGCTGAGCTCTGTTTCTCAGTCTGTTCCTCGGGAAGTCAATCTACAAGAGTTGGTACAGGAACAAAAAACACTATGATGAAATTTGGAGCTGGATCACCCGCTGGCCAGTTGGCAATGAGGACCCCATCGTTGGTGGTAGGTAGTGTAGATAGGTTCTTGGCATGAGCTGGCAGAATTGTTAGTGTCCACTGGTGGTTTACTAAGATGGTACACTGATGGTAAGGAATGTGGTAACTGGTAGCATGTATCATAACTTTGAGAAATATGAGGGAAATAGTAAACAAAGGAAGGCCAAGGAATTGCATGATTGTTTCTTACCTATTTGACTCTTATAAAAAATATGAAAAGTTTAATTAAATTTGCCAACAATTAAAAGCAGTGTCTGAAATTAAGATTTATTCACAGTGTATAAGGAAGTCTTTTCCTGGTAGAGGTAGAGAAATCTGATGAGATCCAAGATTTTATTGAAAGTCAGCTTCAAAGATAGTTACAAATCCAACCAAGTCTTCTACACTGAGATCAGGGCCCTGTTTAGGAAGGAATTGGACCCCAACACATGGGATGGAGACCTTTGAATGTTTCTAAAAATCTTCTATCTCTAGATTACCTGAAATACTTGTGTGTGCAGAAATGTCCCACTTTTCCCTATTAAAGGGTAGCACTTTACTTTGCTTTAAGGTTCACAGCCCTTACACTCTGTATGATAACATGGATTTCCCTTGAAATGTGCCTCCACTTCCCTTCTGGCCACTAGGCCTATAACTAGAGGTAATCCACACCATAACCTAGCTGGGAATGTGCTGTGTGTGATAAGGAAGAATAGAGAATATACCAACAAGGATCTGAACAACCTAATCTAACTAGCAGGTACTAGAATTTGTTGAAGGAGTTAGCAATGGACTGCATTTTGAGTTCTGATTCACTCCATTGGAGAGTTGGAAGGTAATAAAATTGAGTACAGGAGAATGGTTCAATTCGAGAACACTCTCCCAGGAGCATCCAGGAGATGATATAAACTCACTAGTAGGATGATCCCTCAAAATATGGAGGAAAGAATAGCCCACATCAAATGAGGTGTAAATGATGGACTTGTCAGAGCAGATGGTATAAGAAGAGACTAAAGTTTTAAAAAGTGAAAATGATAGAATAACTGTATTATTTAAGGTTAAAAGAATCCTCCAGAGGACTATATCTTGCAGAAGTAACCAAAAAGCATACTACCTCAACTGTAAGGAACATACTGATGAGAGGAGCCCTGATAAGAAGTTCAGTGGTGGTGCTCTTTTGCAGGCTAAGGCTCAGAGTAAAAGAGGATACGATGGGAAAGGATCTATCATAGAAATAGTAATGACTCTGAGACAGTAGAGGCAGGATGACTACATTTACCTGTCAGAAGGCAGGTGGGCAATAGTAGCATAATGCACTTCAGGGATAATAGTGACAGTCCAGAAAGTCTAATCTGTAGAGACCTGCAGAGATGGTTAATAGAATATGATGCTTTGGGTGAGTAGATGGTAAGAGGTAAGTAGGACATGGATCCTCAGTATAAGATAGTGTCCTAGAGAAAGTAGGTAGCTAACAATTTGCACTCAACTTGTACAACCAAAAGAAATTAAAGATGTTTGGGAAGGTAGGGAAGTAGGTTCAAAAAATCACAATCTCTCACCTAGCTTCTGTTCCTAAGTTTTTTTAAAAATGTATTTAGGACAGGGTCTACAGGGTCTATAGAGTATCACTACATAGATCGGACTCATAGTGATGCTCTTGTTTTCAGCCTCCCAAGTGCTGGGATTAGAGGTGCGTGCCATCATGTCCAATCTCAATCTCCATCTCAGCATGCCCTGGGGATGGAGCTGGCACCACATGCCAGAGATCAAACCCCAGCTGCTGTGCTCTGCCTAAGCACGTGCTTTAATCCACTGAGCTATCTGGCTGGCCCCAAGTCAGTTTTTTATCTAGAGGAAATGATTTGAATGAGTGGCTGAGTACCCAGGAAGAAAAACCCAACAGTACATGTTTCTCTTGTTCTCCCATTGACTAAAGATACTGTACATCAAGGAGACAGGAATTCCTGAACACTTTCTGATCAGGTGAACATTGGTTGTAAGTTGATATTAATACCCAGAGACCCAAAATGTCATCACAACTTCCACATTTGATTGGGT